TTCACTGAGCATCTTGCAAATGCAGTCTGTTTTTAAGCGTCTTATTTACTTATTTATTTATTATAGTTATTTTCATATTATCTTTAATAATACCCACTCATTCTGGCACCAAAGAAAGTTAATAGAGTTGTAAAGCCTAAGAGAAAACTCATAATTTCTACGACAGAAATGAAAAAGGAACTTATGACTAAGTGGGAAAGTGGTACACGTTTATCGAACCTGGCTGCTCAGTCTCCCTCATACTATTATTATTGTTTGATTAATACACAATACTTTATGTATGTACTATTACAAATAAAAACATCCAGTTATTGAAATTAAATATAATTGTTCTATCATTATTTACCAATATCATCTTATGAAATATGCACTTAAAATGTTTTATATTGGGTAAATTTTGGGGGTCTGCAACGGATTAATTCAATTCATCCACATGTTCTCTAGACAACTGACTCACAGATGGCGGTCAGGTTGATGACACTAGTAATTATTCAGTTTTATTTTATTTTAACTTAATTTAAAATTAAAATTAATTTTAACCTAATATATCTTAAGCCGTCACGATAGCCGAGCGGGCTAAGGTATGTACTGTCGTCGCTCGCTTGAAAGCCGGGATCGTGGGTTCGAAACCCACACAAGACATCGATGTTTGGTGTGTTTATGCGTTTATTCTGTGTTTGTGTTGTCCTGTGTTTAGGTAGAGGCCTTGCGACGATCTGATCACCCGTCCCAGGAGTCCCTACCGTCTGTAAAAATGATCATGAAAGTGAGGAATCAGCCCTATGCTCCAAAAGTGGAAGCGAGAGCAATATATACATATAGTAAAAGTAAGTAAAGTAAAGGTATCCCTGTAACAGGCCGTGGAGGCCTACAGGTATAGGGTTCTGAGATGTTGAGACCCCCACATTTTCTAGACAATCGGCTCACAGATGGCAGTGAGGTTGTCAAACTTACGCGCCGGCCGCCCTTTACCCCCAGGAATATTCCTGGTACTCATTTCTTTTAGAGGCTGAGTCGACCACAGGGCCATAGTGCGGCTGGAAGGATTAGGTAAATTGAAAAAATCCACCTCATCTGGATTCGATCGCGCGACCTTCCGGCTTGTAGCATAGTGCCTCAAACAACTACACTACCGCGTGCCCCTGTATATATATTAAGCTTATATGTGAATACAGATGGCATTAATACTATAAACAACACATATGACCCTCCCCTTTAAAACAATGTAAACAATGGCCAATGCAGGAGAATAACAGCAGAAAAAGTAAAGTGTTAATGTAAAATGTTTTATCTGATGATGGCCATAAATGGCCAATAAATGTATTCAATTTATATAGGAATCGTGTCGAAGGAACATATAATAAATTAATCCTGAACTTAAGTCTCTTTTATTTTAAAGTGGGAGAAAAGCGGGCGACAGCAAGTGACGTCATCGCACTTGTTATCACCTTTCCACTGGTTTGTTGCTGACTTACCTGCGACTGCGCTGGTTTAGCTATAGATTGTGTAAGCAGTCTTGACATTCGTAACACAGTAGAGCCGCAGTTCCTTGAGATTAGAACCCCACATACATTCAGGATAAAACTAAATTCGAGCAGGGCCGCGCCATCATAGCTCAAGCGGTTATCGTTGGCTTTCCACCGCTGCGGCCCGGGTTCGATCCCGGCTCTGGTCAAGTGGGATTTGTGGTGGACAAAGTGGCGTTGGGACGGGTTTCCTCCGAGTACTTCGGTTTCCCCTGCCAATCTGCATTCCACCAAATTCTCCATCAGCTTAATCACCCGAGGCAGGTACAATAGGCCAATCAGTGGCCTCCGTGCCGAGTGGACCCAGTTGGACTCCACCCCCCACTAAGCGAAAACAAAAAACTGAGCAAGGTACACGATTAAATTACGAGGAATCCAATGGTGTGCACCAGAACCCACCGCTGGACCCTATCCGGAGTCACATGAATCCAGTTCACATCCGTATACCATATTTAAGATCATTTTAATTCTTTATCGATGACACCGAAGGTATAACAAAATTTAAAAGTGCCAACGTCGATTACCTCGACGCTCAGTATTCGACACTTTGTGTGATTTCACAACTTCAACCTAGAGTAGGGTGACAGCAGCGTAAAATATAAGCATAACAATAAAAATCGAATCAATTAAACTGAAACCTAAATATAATTCAATCAAAAACACTGAACATAAATTCAATCTCCTCAAGAAGCTGGCACTGAAAGGTTTAATATTACTGTCCCATTTATGCCTAGGTCTCCCGGATGGCCTCATATTTTATCTATTTCGGCTACAATTTTGTATGACTTCCAATGTGTGCTACATGTTCCATCTATTCCTCCTCCACCAATACTTCATGATTCTAGTAGTATTTGGTGGAGAGCACAAATTATGAAGCTCCTCCTCACACAATTCCATCGAGTGTCCTATTACTTCCAGATGCTATCCTCAGCAAGCTGTTCTCAAACACAATTCATCTGTTTCCCCATTCATCTAGTTTAACGCCGAGTATAACAAGAAGTTCTGAAAACTAATCGCTTCATACGACATGAACCGCACAGAAAGCGACGCCTGAAACAGTTCCTCGTTGCCGCGGGAAAGTCTTTACCGAATTACCTAGTAACACCAGGGGGAAACAGACAGACCGACACACTCTGCTTTCATAAGACACGGACTACATAGAAAATGATATGTCCAACAATTCTTGTATTGTTGCGTGTAGTAACTGCCGCAGGAAGGTGTTTACCGAACCGTTGCCTATCACCAAATGGAGGGATAAACTTAACCGAGCCGTTGTCCTGCAAATACAGAAACACTAACAGACGGGAGGGATTTATGAAGTACGCCGCTGCTATGGGCTCAGTTGCCATGATATATACACATACAAAATTTCATAAAGATTAGTTCAAAAGTTGATTGTGAGGGTTTCACAGACACACAGGAAGGATGGAGATCGCATAAGCTTATTTTAAAAACGGGTATTACCTGTACTAAAATCATGATAACCCACTTACAATCACCCATCGCTTGCCATACTTGAGATGTTTTCCAGCAGTTACAAATAGGAGCAGATGAAAGGAACAGTAAACGGCGATGAAAAGTCAACAGCAGTGCCGCTCTGTACAAACTCTTATTCTACTAAGTGTCTTAGCAGAAATGTAGCTGCCTATCTAAATCTCTTCAACCTCATAATGTACACATTCAATGAAACTGTGATCTCAGGATGTCCCTCAAATGCTACAATCATCATCATCATCATCATCAGTAATCTGTCAAGACGACAGGTCCACAGTCTCTTTCAAAACAATTCCTCCACTTAATGCGATCTAGAGCTTTCTCCTTCAAATGACAGTATCCTCTTCTGTCCCCAAGGTCATCCAGCATCTTCTTACGTCTTCTTCCTCGTCTTCTTGTCACTTCTATCCGCCCATCTATCTTTCCTTCGATAGCTTCTTTTAGAAGGCAGTTTCTGCGTAAAACATGACCA